CCCCCCAATCTTAGGTCCTTCGTTCGGCCCCTGGGTGCAGTAACAAATGTTCCGTGGGTGAAAGCTACATAGGTAAAGTTCGTGTCATTCAAAATATGACTTCCGCTCTACAAAATAGTATCAGAAAATACATTCTTTTTCTGAATGTCCACAATCTGCTAAATATAGTTTCTTATTGTAATTTCATAAACTCCTGTAGATGACGCTAATATGTGGATTTTTATCAGGTAATCGGATTCAATTAAAAACAACTTATTCAGATCGATTCTTCATAGCTATATTGATTACTAGTATAAATAAGTTTAGTGACATAATTACTAAAAATGTATTGGATATAAAATATCTTCAAATGATTATCATTTGCTGATGTTTTGTTTTTGACCTGTCCAATCCAATATAATTTAGGTCGTATTATTCTATCACCATCGTCCCTATGCAAAAAAGAAATTCAATGATCAACATGTAAAAGATATTCTTATTATGGCTTCATCTCCGGGTTTAAATTTTCTTATTGCTAAATATCTCCGTGGATTACCAAATTCAAATCTTGCTAATGTAAGTGCATTTATAGTAGGTTATTTATTTATTTCATTTGTTTTTAGGAATTCGTACAATCCCTCGAACAAAATAATGTAAGTGTTTCAAATGAATTCTTTCGTATATATGAATTCATTTGTTTTAGTTATTGCCGTCTACACACAACTGGAATGGTGTCGAACGCCAAATATCCTTTTCTGAATTGGTAAATGAATGAAAAGAAAAAAGCAATTGTCTTAATTTTTCTTTCTCAATATTTAGGAACAACAATATGCTCATGTTCCTGATAATCATCTATTTCATTTATTAGAAAATGTCATGTCTTATGTGGAACAAGGTATTGGTAAACGGTTTGGTTCATTATCAACATTTCTTCTTCAATTGGATCCAACTTGTTTTCTTGAAAATAAACAAAAGAAATCATCTAGTATGTTTCTCACGGGAAAAAAAGAAGAAAATCATAGACTAAATTTTCTTCTAGCTCGTAAATATAATATGTTTACAACAGCATATCATCCATGTAAATATTTATCAAATCCAACAAATCGTAATATGCGTAAGATAAATTTATGAAAGCTATTTTTAGTTCTTAAAAGAAAAAAATTGATTTTCTTATAGAAATAATTCTACGTGAACGAGAGTATTTTGGTCGAACATTATCTGTTAAACAATTACCAGCGAGTGATTTATATCAACGAATGAATATGAGATTGAAAGTGATTGCACATAAAGCATCAATCTACTGTATTGCTTTTGATCGTACAGGAACTTATGCATTATCGGTACGATATCAAATGAAAACAACGTAGCAAGGGGAAAATCTTTTTTGTTTTGTTTTTATCCTTTAGGGTGCTGATGATTTTCTTCTTAAAATGTGGCATGTACATACAGGTCGTTTATTAGCAACGTTTCGTGGCCATTCAAAAGAAATTTGTGATATTGATGTTAATTTTGAAAATACACTTGTTGCTAGTGCAAGTCTTGATAAAAAAGTACGAGTTTGGAATTTAAAAACTACTAAAATGGAATGTGTCTTACATGGCCACCAAAGTGGAATCAATGCAACTAAAGTATGTTTCTATTCAAATGTTTGATTTTGAATTTCTATCGGGAAATTTTTTCTTTATAGTTTTCACCATTTTGTAAAACAGATGATCGATGGTTAGCATCGGTTGGACATGATGGTAGTATTTGCTTTTGGAAATATCCTATTGGGACAACAGATTTCGAGTAAGGAATTATTCACATCATCAGATCTATTCAGTTAAGCAAACAAATTCAATATGAAAAATATTTTAGACCTCGCCCAATCAAATTTGTTGAAAAAAGTCGTGCTGGCGCGCAAATGCTTTGTTTATCATTTAGTCCAGGTATGGAATGATGCTTTTTCTAGTTTTACATATCTACTATTTTCATTTTTAGGTGGTTACTTTGTTGCTGCTGGTAGTAGTGACTCTGTTATTCGAGTTTATTCATTTCATACATATTCACCATTAAAAATTTGTGAACTTGATCGACATACAGTAAGTTAAAAATTAATTTTTTAATTAAAACAAAATTATGAAACCTTTTTTCTCATTATAGAGCGTTGTTGAAACACTATGTTATTCACATTTAACTAATTCGTTTATTTCCGGTAGTAAAGATGGTACAGCTCGTATTTGGCGTTATGAACAACAAACATGGAGAGCCATTGTTCTTAATTATAATGATGATTCAGATAAAAAGTAATTAGATTTTGTCTGAATGTGAGCAGAGAAATATTCGGTTTGACGAAAGATTAATGATACGTTTTATAGACATCGAAATGATTTCTATAAACTATGAAAAAGAAATTATTTTATCGAATGTAATTTTTCTTTAGTAATAACGATTCGAATAATCATTTAACAGCCGTCAGCAATAAAGTAATTCCTGTTACCATTGTTTCATGGTCATGTACTGACCGACATGTTGCAACTGCATATGAAAATGGTCTTATTAAAGTTTGGGAACCTAACCAAGGAACACTAGTCAATGAACTCAAAGTATATTATCAATAATTATTAATTTGACCATTTAGAAATATTTTCTGTTTGTTTTTAGAAACATGAAAAAACTGTTTTTGTACTCGAATGTCATCCAACAAACGAACGTTTATTATGTTCTGCAGGACACGATGGTCTATTAGTTATTTGGGATATGGTCGATGGTCGTGTGATCAAATCTTTTCTTAATGATGTAACATATGTCATTTGTTTTAATTTAACATATCTAATTCCTTTTTCTATTCAAGCAATACATTGATATTCCATGTTCAATACCATATTCCGAAGCGAAATGGTCTCCTCATTGCGATGTTATATGTACGACAGATCTGTGCGGTCAAATATGCTTTTTTGGTCTCGGCACGGATACAAGATATAATAAAACTCAAATTGAACAGTTTTTTCATAATGACTTACGTCCGGTAATACGTGATAGTAATGATGATGTACTTGATGAACAACAACAACTTCCACCTCATTTATTACCACCACCATATCTTATTGATGATCATGGTCATGCCTATTCATATGATATACAAAGATGCGTACCAGGACGAGAAAATTATTCACAAAATGATAATACAGCTACCGTTGTTAATCATGAATATCTTGAAGGTAAAATTATTATGAGATAATATTCAGAACAAAAACGTAAATGCTTTGTTTTATTTAGATCTAATTATTGCTGAACCAATGACCACTCCTGGAATGACAAGTGCATTTATGACAAGAAAATTTGGTAGCACAACATTGAAAATAAATCGCTTTTTTCTTCATAATATTAATTTCTATTTAGAAACTGTTGATTTATCAACATTTCGATTGAATATTGATAAAAAACAAACATTTGTCTATCATCGAAATTTGACATCACCATTGAATGAAGCAGAATTAGAGTAAGAATATATTGATTTGATGAGAATATTATTAATTTGTCGTTTTCTTTGTGTTTAGATACAGCGAAAGTATTCGAGATGCTCGTTATGACGAGGAACGTATTGCTTATGAAAGAGAATATTTGAAAAAAATCGATCATAGAGATTTGGTAAGATATCGTTTTAAAAATACCTCTAATTACTTGTATTCATGTTGGGATTCTTTTTTTCACAAATTTGAACTAGGGTTTCGTTAGAAAATCAATATTTCTAATTTATTCTTTAGTATGAATCCTCACCAATAAAAAAACGTACAACGCGTAATGTTATTAAAATGCGCCAAGAAGAACTTCTGAAAAAAGTTCCACATAATGTTGAAGTGGCGATTAATCGTCTAACAACTCGAGCATTATATGATTCGGACAAAGAAGATAAAACTGATCTATCTGATGATCAATATTCGCCAAATGCAGTTATACCATTGGGTGATAGGTAATTAATAAACATTGAAAACAGAACTTAGATCTTTATGAACCCAATTCTTTTGCTAGTGAAATGAGTGGTGGAGGTGATGATGATAGTGTATCGACTGATGAAGATCTTGTTGTAACAACAACACGAACAACAGGCATCATGACACGTACGGGACAACAAAGACGTGTACAGAGACATCGAAATTTATCACCCGATGAAGATGATGATGAAGATGATGAAGAAGATGAAGATAAACGCGAACGTGAAAATCGTCAAGTACAAGAAGCAAAAACACAACATCGTCGACGAAATAAATTAAAACGATTGAAAAAACGACGCGAACAAGTCAAGACCAAGAAAGAAGAATTCGAAAATAAACATGAACTTGAATTAAATTATTCATCAGATTTTAAACCACCCGACTGGTTGACGCGTATCCTTGCAAAATGTTCGCCATATATACCACAAATCGGTGATACTGTTATGTATTTTATACAAGGTCATGAATTGTATATAAATGAAGTTAAAGATAAAAAAATGTATGAAATCGATGAGAAGACTTTACCATGGAATAAATGTGAATCAATCGATGTAAGTATTCTACGAGCCACACATATGAATGCACCAGAGAGTAATGCACTGATTGCCTTTCTTGTAGCATGTCATTGAATGCAAAAATTAGAAGTAGAATTTTTCTTTCGGACTGTGGGATTTGTATATTTTGAAAAAAAGAAATAGAGTGATGATCTGTCAGAAATACATATTACTTATTTTAATTTGTTTCTTTTGAAGGCCGTTGAATGTGCTACAGTAATTGGCGTGTCTATAAGTTTTTCTGATAAACAACCACCGCGTGTGATTAATGTTCGACTTCAATTATTAAATCCTGATACACTTGAAGCTACGTCAAAAAGAATAAGTGTCAAGTACGTAATAAAAAGAAAATATGTTTGATAATTCAATCCAGAAAAAAACGAATATTTTCTTTTTCTATTCTAGATTTCATGATATTGATGGTATAGCTGATTTTATTATTTTAAAACAATATTATGATCAAGCTGTACAACGAGAGTGGAAAGCTGGTACTTGAAAAACCATTTCATATCTTGAAAAGAAATTTTAAAATTCTTTTTTTTTCATCGTTCTTATCAGGTGATAATTTTCGATGTTTTATTGATGATACTTGGTGGCCGGGAACAATCGTAAAACGAGAAGCATTCGATCCTCGTCATGAAACTAGTCCTTTTCAATGTTATATTATCCGATGGGATAATGGTGAAAATGAAGAACGACTGAGCCCATGGGATATTTTCGAATGTGATGATTCTCGTATGATAGATTTTACGCTTTGTTATTAAATGTAATATTTAACTATTTTGTTTTTTTTCCAGCTTCTGAATCAAGCGAGTCAAATCTAACTAAAATGCCATCATATCAGCCAGTAGCAGATGAATGGCCATCACATGGAATCGATGAGGAACGAGAACGTTTGTTAAATGGATTCGATACACTCATACAAATGGATATAACTGTACAATTTCGAGCACCAGGTAATTATTTTCCGTACAAGTGATGAACAATATCAAAAGAATAGAATTCGTCTATGCTGTTAAAAATTAAACTTAGAAAATCTCTAGTTATCTAATTCATTATAAAAATAATAGATTATATGTTTGATTTTCTGAATCATAGATGAATAGTATAATTCATGCTCATGACTTCTAATTCCATTTTTCGAATGGGAACTTCATTTTGTTTTGTTTTCTTAGTTCAACTCGCTTGGTATCCAGTTGTTATTGCTTATCCCATTGATCTTGGTACTATTCGAGAACGTATATCCAATGGTTACTATCGTCGATCTAATGCACTTAAATGGGATGTTAAGAAAATAGAAGAAAATGCAAAAAATTTCAATGAAAAAGGAAGTCAAATAATTGAACAAGTTAAACTAGTAACAAAAATCTTACTTAAATATATTGAGTAAGACATTTCATATTTCTCTGACTAGCTTTTTTTGTTAAATAAAAAACGCTTTGTTTTTAGTGATCATAATTGTAATGATATAAACATCATCTATCAACGAGCATTACACTCCGAACAAGTTTCATTACCTATGTCAACATCATGGGTTTGCCGTCGGATTTTTACACTAGAAAAAAGAACTGTATATTCTTATTTTTAGACTGAAGAATGGCTTGATGATTGTCAAACAATACTTAATGATATATTATCTCAGCCAGGAAGTGATCTTTTACGTTATCCAATCGATGAAAATGAATATCCAGTATGAAATGAATGCTTCTTGAAAATAATTTTCATCATTGAAATTTTTCTTTTCTTTTAGGACTATGAAAGAATTATAAAAACACCCATTTGCTTTGATGATATACAAACGAAACTTCATCAAAATCCTTGTGGATATAGACATTCACGAGAATTCATCGCTGATTGTCATTTAATATTTCAAAATGCTTTAACATACGCAGATCCAGAGGTGAAGTGAATCAAAAAAGAGATCTTTTTTCTATCTAATAGTTTTTTAATAGATGATTAATGTTGTCCGACATTTGGGACCATGGTTTGATCAACGTGTAGCTATATTTGATCGTCGACAACGCCGAACAAATCCTCAATATACTAGCGAAATGACAACTCGACGACGGTATTTTTACTTTTTAAAAAAAGAGAGGCATTTTTATTGTTATTTAAATTTCAATAGAGATTTACAAAATTCATCAGCTGATGAAAATAATGTATATACAACAACAGGCGATCTTCTTCCATCACTACCGATCACAACAGCAGCAGCAGCAGCAGCAGCAGCGACAGCAACAACAACAACAACAACAACAACAACAACAGCAGTCGCAGTGACAACAAGCTCCAGTAGTCGACAAAATCGGAGAACACAATGTATTTGAAACTAACATTATTTGTTTTTAAATTAAACTTTTTCTCTTTCTAGTCTCTCCAACAGCTCTAACAGCTGATCGCCGTCATTCGCATTTCAATCGTGCGTCTACAGTAAATAATCATTCTGTAACATCTCAACAACAGAATTCTGATGACGACGATATGGATGATGATAATGAATCTGTTTCAACACGCAGTACTCAGCCTATATCATTGACATCATTTATCAATCCAATAGCTCATGATCATAATATCGGTGTTGGTTTATCATTGCGTCAAACTCGACAACGTTTGCATGCGAATGAAAGTAATAGTTCGTGGCCAACTCGAACACGATATAGTACAAGATCAACAGCCTCCAATAGACATCACAATGATGATTATGACAATCGTTCGCAACAGCCAAGTTCATCGTCACGTATTTTATCAGCATCCGATGATGATGATAATGATAATAATGATATATCATCGAATAGTAAAAGAAATCGCATTGAACGTAGTGATAGAAGAATAACCTCAATAAATCGACCAAATTATAAAATTGACAGTGATGATCATGAAGATGATGAGGATGAGGAAGAGAACGATGATGATCATCAGCAAAAACCGAATAAAACAAATGGAACGAATAATAATCAAGAAGATATCGAACAAACAGAAAAAGATAATGATAAATCGAAATGTAAATATAATCTCATTACTTTTCCTAAGGAGTTCCGTTGCTCTTCTTTTAAAAACAAACTTATTTTGATTTTGAATTGATTATTTTTTTTCCAGTGAGAACTGACGATGAAGATTACGAGCCACCAGGATCTCATGGAGGAGAAGAAGATGAAGACGAAGATCCTAATGAATTACTATCTACTCGCCAGAAAGATGACGATTCCGATTCGGATTTTCAATTGAATGAGCCCAGTCAACATCGTCGCACAAATACAAATGGTAATCGCGTACGTAAACTGCGTAGTACAACAAATCGTCCATCGCCGCCATTACCAAATCAAAACAATAAACGAAAACGTTCAACTATACGTACACGTTCGTCGTCATCAGAATCAGATTCATCTGATTCGAATGTAAATACAACACAAAAAACTCGAACTCGTTCACGACGACGTGTAACAGTAAATAGAAAATCTTCATTTGCAGAAGATATTTCAGACGAAGACCAAGATGAAGAAGGCGAAAATCGTCGACGACCACGAACAACTCAACCAACACGAGTATCAAAACGTGGTCGTGTTCTTAAACAACGTTTACTCAGTGAATAGAAAATAGAATAAGATCATATTCAATTCACTGTTCAGATCTAGTCTTCTCAAGTGTTTCTTTGTTTTTTTCTTTATGATCGGCTTTGCTCAAGAACGAGACAAATTAACAAAAAGAAAACAGTGACTATTACATGTGTACTATCATTTTGATAGATTTTCTTCTTTTTTTTTTGTGTTTGCTGTACAGATACATTAATGTTCTTATTTTGTTGTTGTTGTTGTTGTTGTTGTTGTCTGTGTGATTGACAATCTGTTCATGTGTTTTTTTTCTTTCGTTTGGGAAAATAAAAAAAATATACATCGCGCTTTTATCTATTTATTAGAATTTATTTGTCAAAAAAGAAAAGATTAGATAAAAAAACATAATAAACATTCAATCATCATCTAATGTAAATGAAAAAATTTGTATACCATCATACGAAGTAAAATTTGTTTTTTTCTTCTCATTTGATGAATGCATTTCATTATTGGTAAGTACTGCATAATCTCCATCGTCACTTGATTTTGATGAACCTGAAAAAAATAAAGGATAATATGAAATTAATTTTATATTGAAAAAAAAATACATACGACTTGATGAGGATGGTATAGTAGCAATTGTTTGACGGATTTTTTTCTTTTTACTTATGGTTCCAGTGCCAGGGTTAGCTATTTTACCAATACCTTCACCTGTTGAGAAATCAATTTGGTGCCCTGTCTCTTTCGAAATAAATACATATTGTTGTTGTTGAGGTGGTGATTCAGTTTGTTGATTAAATTCTTCTGGCGAATGTTTTGCTGCAAGAATTTCTTTGGCAGTTAAAGCTATTTGTTGTTGTGATGTTAAATTTGATGATTCTAAATCGATTATGGGTGTTGATGTACATACTGGAACAGTATTTGATGAACGAATAGGAGAAGGTGTTTTTCGAGAATTATTTATATAGATTCGAGTTATATGAACTCCAGCTGGATCACACATGTGTAGTTAAATTTAGAGAGAGACGATGAAGAATAGAGAATGATTTGTTTGCTTTCATATATATATATGTATATGAAAAGAACGGATCTATCCAGGGATGAAAAAAGAATGATTAAATATTGTGATCTTCTTGAAGAAACGAATTAGATCGTATGAATCGATATTTTCTTTGGCCATGTATTATATAACAGGTTTAGCTAGTAAACCAATCGTAGTTGAATAATTTCAAAATATTTGATATTTAACATTGAAATAATACACTATTATCAAGGTATTTTTTTCTCTAGGAAGAAAAAGAGAGCACAGAATCTATGTAATGAAGTTTCCAGAAAGTTTCAAGTATCATCATATTGATGAGATTAAATCGAAACCAAAATACATCCTTACTACTGAATGTTAAATATTCTAAGAAGAAATTGTATATTTTCTTAAAATCTTATAAAGGATTGTACCGATGATAAAGTCGATTGATGGCCAGATAAAGCAACATAAGAATTTCAGCAATGTCAGAGATACAAAAAATGTTCACTTGACCTAAATTCTTCTGGCAATGTGTGGGACTTTTCATATTGAATGAAATTTGTAGATTATATTAGTAGTTACAGAAAACAAAAAGCTCAGCAGCGGACTTTTCTTTTCAGATAAGTTTTTCTGATGTACATACAAGAGAGATCGCAAGCGATTTATATCACAGAGATCAAATATCATGTATTTTGATTGCTGGAGGATCATTGTCTTTCTACAGACCTTTGTATTCGTAATCGAAGTTTTCATTTCCTCTCTGAGTTGTATGACATCGATAAAACAGTGATTCACATATAATGTCAATGTGATAAAGGTTCGACTTTTCTACCTTGACTAGAAAGGTCCTTCTATTCGTTAATGGACTTTGTGTAAAGTGGACGTTTTTAGGATCTTCGACAGCTCGCTCTCGTCAACACAAACGTATATGGAATGCACTATCATAAAGTTTGCAACATTTTCAATATTTCGACACTTCGATGTTCGACAACTTTACTAAAAAGATATTATTAGAGAACAAGTTGTTTTTGTTATCAATTGTAACAAAACTTTTGCTAGTGATTTAATTGAAATGAAACAACTATTCTCAGTACATGAACCAAGCTAAACAAGAACTAAAGATAATACGCAAAACTACTCGATTTTCATGCTGAAAAAAGTCTTTGCACTTTTGCAAGAATGACGCTTATTGTAGAATGAAAAAAACTTTTTCGTGCAGAAATAAAGCGTACGTTATCTACTATACAAGTACGTTTTATTACGATTTCTATTTCTATCTACATTGTACTTGCACAATATTTTGAGATATTTTGTATGAGTCATATTGTTGTTTTTTTCTTTCCTTTTCTGTAAAGCACATGCAAAAACGCAAAACGCAAGCATTTTGAAAGCTTGCAGTCTGAATTGAAACATGTTTTCTACACTAACGAGTCGTGCGATATTTCCTATGATATTTGGTCGTCGCCATCCAGATAAATTAAGTGATGGAGCATCAACGCCACTTCAACTTGTTCGTTTACAAATTGAACAAAAAGTCGATGGAAACTTTCCGTTTATTCATCAAATATCTACGACAATGACATTTAAGAATACACATCATATAATTGTAGAAGGTGCTTTCGAATTTACTTTACCAGAAAAAGCAACTATTTGTGGTTACGGTAAATCAGTGTTTGCTTCTTTTTCGTTAATAAGTTTTTTTTCTCTGTCGATTTATTTAGGTCTTGATATTGATAATGTTATTGTCGATGGAGTAGTCGTTGAAAAACAAGCTGCTCGTATCATGTTTGAAAAAGAAGTACGGAAACGAGTTGATCCCGGCTTTGTTGAATTAGTTACAGGAAATTTATTTCGTACACGAGTTTATCCAATCGCACCACAACAGACACGTACTGTTCGTGTTATATATCAAGATCAAGCCATCACACACAATAATGGCTTTCTTTATCAGATACCGGTTCAATTTCAAACGCGGCTTGAAAGTTTGGATGTTGTTCTTACATGTTATGGTCAAGGAACAGTCATACCGAGTTTCGTAACTAATTCTAATGGAACGAAAATTAACTATCCACAATTTGTCAGTCATAACGATGGAAAATATACTGCTGAATTACATTTAACTACTGTTGAACCATCTGCTGAAAGTGAACAAATACTTTCCTATATATTACCTGATTCTCTTAAACCAGTGATGAGTACGGTCGAAAAAGACGCGTCTATTGGTGCATATTTTGCAATAAGTTGTGCTTTACCAACACCAAATCAACTAAGAACTGATCAACTTGATATTCCGTCGAAGAGAATTTGTATTCTATGGGATGCAAGTTTAAGTCGTTCGAACTCAAAAGAAAATCGAACATTAGAATTGGATGCATTAAAAAAAATCTTTGATACATGGTTAACACGTTTTAATAAAATTGAAATAATTATTATTATATTTCGAAATGATATGAATGAACCAATAATATTTCAGCTTCTGTCTCATAATTGGAATGATTTTATGCAAAATTTTCAAGATATACCATATGATGGTGCAACAAATCTATCACAATTATCGTCGATTCATTTCATACAACCAATCAATTATTATTTTATTTTCAGTGATTGTATATCAACATTAACTAATGATTCCACGACAGAAAATTTATATTCAAATTTTAAAGCACCAATATGGATATTCAATGGTAATCATCTGCATGAACCATTCGATTTTGATTTCATGCGTTATTTAACTCAATGCAATGGAAACGGCGGAGGCTATCTAAATCGTGAAAAATTAGAATTAACATCAAATAATTTAACAAACATCATTGAAACGATTCAAATTCAATATATGAAACTTCATTCAAATTCAAATGTACAACAGATATATCCAAGTAATGCCACATCGCTTCCATTGAATTTAGATCGATTTCTTCTAGTGGGACAAATTCCACTGCCACTACCGAATGCAATTCAATTTGAACTCGAATTTTCAATGAATAATCAAACATCTCGTTTACCGATTTCACTTGATCTATCATTAATTCAATCGGATTCTATTGGTTTAATACGGCGTTTATGGGCGCAAGAAAAATTAAATGAATTAAATGCATTTAAAGATAAATATAAATCCGATATATTATCACTTGGATTAGAATATTCATTAGTGAGTCAATTTACATCCTTGTTAGTGCTTGAAACACTTCAGCAACATCTTCAATATCGCGTATGTCCAGCTAAATCACGCACTTTACTTTACAATCAATATTTACAATATCAAACAGTAGCACAAAATAAAAAAGCAAATAATATATCTCAAGTAATACAAAAATGGAATCAAACATGTCAATGGTACGATAAAGTTATTACTGATGTGGATCGTCATCGAGCTTATTTATCAAAATCAACACCAGTGAACACATTCACAATATTATCTTCGCCTAATGTCTTTGGATCGGTCACACCTCACTCTTTTTCTTTCGGTTCAGCGAGTACTTCAACCACAATCCCCTCCTCTTTTTCAAACCCGGCCCGTCCATTGTTTAGTTTTGGTGGTCAAACAAGTATTGCAACTAGTAGTGCATCATCCGGTTTTGGTTCAAATGCTCCTTTCTCGGCTCATACTTCATCCAGTATGCCAATCTTTGGTGCTTCTACTTCATCAAAACAATTAATTACTTCAAAAAATCTATCAAACGCATCTTCATCATCTTCATCGGAAGAAACATCTGCAATCATCTTTAATGAATATAATCCTCAAGCACCATATATAACACGAATATCTTCGTCAAGTAATGTAACAAATGCATATTCAATTTATCTTAGTGAACGAACACTCAACCGTCAATCACCATCATTTTATTTTGATATTGCATCGCACTTTTTTTCACCAAAATCTTCCTCATCGATATTAGATAAATTTAATCAAAAACAAGAAAACGTTACAATAGTAGATAGGACATCCATCGAATATGGTTTACGTATATTAACAAATATTCTAGAATTAGAATTGGAAGCACCACAATTATATCGAACTGTTGCCTATAAATTAATGGAATTAAAACAATGGAGTCTTGCTTTAAGTATTTTTCAAAAAGTTTATTCTCTACGTTCTGACGAACCACAATCATTACGTGATTTAGCTCTCGTACTTATTGAACTTGGTCAATATGATCAAGCATTGGAATATTTCAAGCAGGTTCTCACTAGCTTATGGGATGAAAGATTTCGAACTATTCAAACAATTACTGTACTTGATTTAAATCGGCTTTTAGTTTTAATGAATAAAACAAAGCCTGCAATTGATCATCAACTCATACGTCATTTGCCACTTGATATTCGAATTGTTGTTCAATGGGATACAGCTGATACCGTTATTAGACTTTCAATTCAAGAACCAACTGGTCAAATATGTAACAGTACTGATTCATTTCAGACAGATATTGGCGGATACATCACGCCATCATTTGGTCAATCTAATCAACCCATTGAATATTTACTTCGTAAAGCCGTCAATGGAATATATTCAATCAGTTTAACATATATAAGCAATGCTCAACATACAATCGTAGGTGTTACTACAGCTTTAGTTTACGTGTATAAATATTTTGGTTCGATTAATGAAGAAAAACAAATTCATACCGTACGATTGACTAATTATAATCAAACGATTGATGTTGCTCAAATTGAAGTTGGCGATTCGAATTTAGAAACACTTAAAAATGAATTAGAAAAAAGTAAAAATGAATGTTGTCGTCTTCAAAATCAAATAATTACTGGCAAACAACAAACACAATCTTTAATTCAACATACAAATGTAAGATGCGATGGATGTTCAATGTCACCAATTGTTGGTGATAGGTATAAATGTATATTTTGTCCAAATTTAGATTTCTGCCATGATTGCCAATCATTGGCAAATTCTACACATGATGCAAAACATCCATTACTTTGTATTCATGATTCAAGTGTATTTGCATCATCCATTTATATTCAGAACATTGGTGAACTAATTCATTCAAATAACACTTGCACGACATGTTCGGTTTCGCCTATAGTTGGTATACGTTATCAATGCATAAAATGTAACATTAATTTATGTGGAAAATGTGAATTTCTTTGTTTACATGATGTGTCACATGTACGATTGAAAATTATACAACCTCAATAAAAAGAAAGAAAAAATTTTGATTTAAAAATTTTTCATCCTATTCATACTAACAATATTTTAAAGAAATAAAGACAACGTGAACTAGAAAACGAATTCATTGATACATATTATGTTTGAGATAATTCTCTACATGAAGATTCATATAGTGAAACATGCTCATTCTCAAACAATTTACTGAAAGTATCAAAGAAATATAAATCCTTCTTTTTGTTATAATCATGACTTTTATATGAACCAAAATGTGTAATAAAGTAATCCATTTTGCTTACAATAAAAAGATTTACTCACAAGTACTGATTGTTTTTTTTTATTGGATTGGAAAGCTTTTTCTTCAACGTACACGCAATACATAGCATGTTAATAGACATCATTAAAAAATGTTTACTCCAGAATTTTTGGTGTAACTTATTAATACATATAATATTATTGGTAATACGACTGATGTACTCTAACAAAATGTTTTCACAAGACTTACTCATGTAATATTGAACGAAATTATGGTGAGATTAAAGCTAGGGATAGATTTGAGTATGAGAATGTATAAAAGATCAATACTTTTTCTTAAGAACTAAATCCAAATCTGGCCTCATTTTTTATGCGTTGTATATCTTGACGGTTTTCGTTCTGGTAAGTATCAAACTACTTGGCTTAATGTGATAAGATACATGGATTCAAGTACTGATCGTAAGAAAACTACAACGAAAGATTTCTATTTAATTATATTCAGCAAATCATATTCTGATTAGATCAGAAATGTACAACAATTTAAAGATAGGAATTCTCAAGTTCTCTTAGAATTATTAACCGACAGAAAAATGCTTTGAAAGTGAATTAAGAACTGATTATTAATTTCTGCATAGTCTCACCTTTCCTAATACTGGAGGTTATGTTTTCTAATAATTTTCAACATTGCACGTTCCTCTCTAGAAATTTCTCACGGAGCATGGATATGAGTGTAAAAACCGACGTTAATATTGATAAACATGAATTTGTAAATAGTTTGATGGAAAATTTTTTTTTTTTATCTAAAAAAATATCTGCGCCAGCTGCAAAATTAGCCTTCCAAATATTGAGCAGCTGTCTGGTGAAATTTAGTAAAAAACATAAAGAAAAAAAAGGAAATGACAAGCCCATGAATTTTTATTAAGAAATCATGTCTTTATTTAATTAGATCAGGCAATCCAAACGTTGTTCAACATCACTTTTTACGAACTATATGCAAGTCTTCTATGGTATACACGAATGTTTTTTTCTTTCTATCACTGCCACAAACGGGCACCCCAATTTATGAAGTCTGGACAAGTTCGACCAAAATCTTATTGCCATGACCAGGGTGGCCAGATCAAAAATTAAAAAATCAGAAAATATTTTTTCAAAATCAGAAAACAATCAGAAAATGGCAGTTTTTGACAAATTCGTACATCTTCCGCTAAAATACTGACATCCAAAGTTCTGCTGCGTTTCTGCTCATTGACTGGAACTTTGTTTTCAAAGATATTTCGATAAAACGAAAGGCAATATAATGAATATATCGCTTAGCTAATACGGAGACATCAATAAAAGATACGTAATGTTGAGCTTCGTTTTAAATTTAAAACTCGTTCACAAAAACGCGCAAAACCAAATCAAATACATTCTGCGTAGATTAAGAAGTCTAACGAGAAAAAAAAACGTTAAATCCTATCATCTCGGTGTTGTTATTCATATTTCGTATCTTTTGGAATTTGCTTCAAGAAGTTTGTTTAAGATAATGTATGCTGATAAAACCTTCTCAAGAATAATTACCATTCAATTTTATTTTAAGTTAAGCATTATCTGGTTTTATATTCTCGGATTATGATAATCGGACTATAAATGGTTTATATGACGAAAATCAATTCGACGCCAGAATTCGAAGGAGGAATATAAAAGATGACTAATAGAGAAAGTTGATGAAACACTATTGATTTATTATAGTAATGGATTATAATCGTACCTAATTTCAACGGCAAAGCAGCGATTTCAAAATGTTCCAAATTCAGAAAAAAATCAGAAACATATTCAAAATTCAGGAATTTTCCCTATTTTTCAGAAGATCTGGCCACCCTGGTCTTGACTATCAATGAAATATAATGATGCAGAGAAGAAAATGGATTCAAATGATGAATATATCTTGTTTCTCTTAAATAAATAGCCATTGGATATCGCATTGAAAAGATGAAGTTATTTTTCATTCGTTTGTCTTCATGAAAAAAATAATAAAGATTTTAATAACACAGAACACAATAGACAAATAAGAGTAAAAAAATGATATCATATCTACAAAAACCTAACCATTCAACTAATTTTTCTTGTATTTCACGACGATGTATAAACACATTAGCGCAATATATACTTGAAACAAGAGAATACATCTTTTGTGTTTTCTTTTATAACATGTTCTCTTGTCACCAAATATTTGTTTAAATTGTAATTTAATCAAATATTTTATACAAATGTTATGGTCGTTTTAGATTGGTTGAAGACATCGGCCATGATCATAGCAACATAGTGATGCTATAAATGTGGTAGTAGAATATCTGCGAGGATAATGAAGACAATCTTTCAGAAATCTTCTTCGACATGACGCAATGCAAAGAAAATAAACAATTGAAATAAGAGATCATGATCGATCGTTCGAATAGACAGTCTACTTTGCTTTCATTTTTCTCTATTCTTAATGCAACTAGGAATTTAATTGTGAAGGAAAATAGAAAAATCTGAGAAAGAAAAGAACACGTTGAATTTATTCCGTGACTTTACCAACGACAAACACGCTATACCTATCAATCACGTATGTAATTGATACTGAAATACCAAACTTTTTCTTTGCTCCACCTACATATTCTTTTCTATATCATAATTCGATCGAAATTTCCAATATAGTTTAGTAAGAGATGTTGGCCTGCAACGATAGTAAAAGTAATACTCCTCATGTGAATGATCTGTGAAGGAGAATTATCACAATACTCTTACTGAAAGTTATGTTTTCACAATCTCTTTTGAAATTTAAAATATAACATCCATGTAAGTGACGCTTATATTCTAGATAACGCCATTAATCATCTTTTGTAGCGTCTTCTTTGAGTAATAATACTTGTAAATAACTAGTTGAACACTTTCTGATCATATAATATATATGATCTTTCAATAGCTTCTAGTGTTGCATAGCTGTACTCTATATCCATCCTAGCTTTTCTTAGCTATGCTATTTTCTAAATTTTGATTTTAACCCTTTACCGCCGGCTATATGAAAACGCCGTACTCCTATAGGGGAAAATGTTGCCATATGGCAACATCCGGCGGTAAAGGGTTAAGTAAGAAAGATTTGTACTGAAAAAGATTCTTTACAAATCTACATTTTTTTGTAAAAGGTATGTCAATAGTTTTATTGATACGTAAATGAGACGATACAATCAGCTAAATTTATTATGTTTTAGGTATATATTGATAGTAAGGAACATAGATTCTTATCACAAAACATGTGTTAGAATAATATATCTGATACCAGTGCTTTTCTACGTTTTCTAACAAAACTTGACATCATCATGAAAAGTCGCATTTCATGGTTTCTTTCTCCTAGCAATGTGTAAAATTTGATTATAGACCTACGCAATATCCGATAAATTTAGATTGGGAGTCGAATTTCAGAGTCAGTTGTAGATCTCTAGCTGTGAAGTTCCAAGTAACTGGTATTTTCATTCATGTGTGAAAAAACATAGTTTAGAAGTAATCTATTCACCGCATAGACTTCAAGTTATTCCTATAAATTTGACGTCATAAAAAGGATCTCTATATATGTAAATGCGCCTACAAAGATTCAAAAAATCAATTTGTTGGGCAATTTTTGCGCAGATGAAAAATATGAACTATGATAAAATGCGAAACAGATTATTCTAATTGATCTAGTATTTTAAGTGTAAATTTTTGAAAAAAGCAAACCTGTATACTTGTTCGATATCCTACATTCAAGACGATCAGTTATTTTGATCCAATCTACATGGCAAAAGAAAGAAAACAAACAAAATCCCTAGTCTATCAGAAGATAGTGCAATTTGAAATCCTTATCGATATTATTATTGAAGTTTATCTCAGGTATGTAATTTTGGACTCACGTGAAAATTTTCGGTGTGCTTATACTTCTTTGAACTATAATATAGCGCTTAGATATGCTCTTTGCAAGTTGCTTTTCTTCAATTAGGCAGTTTACGTCGCTTGAAAACAATTTGACAAGTACTATTAAATTACGTACCACTACTATCACTGAAATAATATTACTTTTGTTTTCTTGGCAATACGTGCTTTAATTAGTACAAAACCCCTTCGAATAAGTAGAACGAACTGCGAGAACAACACGTCATCATTGCAATTTATAGCGTCATGAGCGAACGAAACTTCTCAATCTATCGAATATATGAGGAGAATGTATGCAAAGCGAAACAAGCTATTGCAGGACATAAAAAAATAAGTATGATGCGTTTTGAATTTGGTCACTAGCAGAAACTGCGTGTTTGGTTTTAATATTCGATCATCGTATCCAAAAGAACAAAAAAGCCCATTTTACTACTTTGCCTTTTGTTTTCATCTTTGATAAGCTCAAATATCTGGTTCCGAAGTATTGGAAGATGTCACGATTCATAAGGTTTCTGGTGACAATATTATGTAAACTATTTTTTTTAGATAGACAGCTATATATATATATATATTGCTACTAGTAATTATTTCTTGTATTTCTTTATAATTTTGCCAAATTTTCCAGTAAAATTATATTAAAAATTAATGACCTTGACAACACTAGCACGGTCGGGACATATTTACTCATTATGGTGGATAATTATAGGCCTTATAATTATATTCATTCTTCGTTACAATATTTTAACAGTATTCTATATTTTTCGTACATATCTAAGTTGGTATCAATTTTCAGCTGGAGTAATAAATTCCAAAGATGATTTTGACACAACCATGTCTAGTTATCCAATAAATCAAACATCAGCTATGCCAAATTATCAAAGTGTCGTACCAGCTATATTACATCACATTGTAGTTGGCAATATTGATTTGAATAAACATCCGACATGGACAGTTGCAAGAGCAGCTTGTTTAAAGTTGCATCCAAATTATGAGCATAAATTTTGGAATGATTCATTAGCTGAAAAATTTATTCTAGAAGAATATCCATGGTTTTTTGAAGCATGGAAAAATTACAAGTATCCGATACAACGTGCTGATAGTTTACGTTATCTTATTCTTTATCGTTATGGAGGAATTTTTCTTGACATGGATCTTCATTGTCGTCGATCGTTAGGACCTCTTCGACGTTTCGAATTTGTTTCGCCCGTTGCTTACCCAGTCGGACTATCGAATGGCTTTCTGATGGTTTCTGCGCGTCATCCATTTATGAAACTTCTCGTTGATCAATTACCTTTATTTAATCATAATTTTGTTTTACCATATGCTACAGTTATGTTCTCAACTGGATGCATGTATATATCGGCACAATATTTACTTTATGAAGACCGAAATCGTCTCAAACTCTTGGACTACAAACAACATCGTTTAAGTGGCCGTATATCAACGCCATTATTTCATCATCATGGCAGTAGTAGTTGGCATTCTAATGATGCGTCATTTATTAAAAACTCAGAAAATATTATAAAAAAATTAATTCATCATAAATATCTAGTTGTATTCACTTTATTGATATGTGTGATTTTGACGTTTATTCTATGGAATCGAAGAAGAAGAAAACGAAGACAGAACGAGGAAACTTTGCTATGCCTGAACGTTGTTGTACATTGTGTAAAGAAAACTTAATTCGTCCATTTTTCTTTTTATAATTTTTGTAAAAATTCTTTTTTATCAGCTTTTTAACGAAACAGATGAATTAAAAATACCGATTTGTTTTTCTAGATTACATGATGAATATCTTACGAGAACAATTTAAGAAAAGATTTCGACATAATAAAAATCGCTCTTTCGACATTCCATTAGATGAAACAGGTGAAACATTGCTTCCAGATAATCATATACAGGTATCTTCACATCGTCGATCAATTAGTAAATGTTTGATTCGATTACGTCATTGGATAAGCACACATATATGTTTATTAATTATGATAGTATTTATTTGGATTCCAATTTTACTTTATTTAATTTTACTTATTCTATCGAAAAGTCAAGCATTTATTCCAAAAGAATTTCAACAAAATCATCATCGTCTTCTATTAATTGTAGCTCATCCCGATGATGAAGCTTTATTTTTTTCACCAACCATACGCAGTTTACAAAAACAATCTCATATTAATTTAAGTTTATTAGTCTTTTCACGAGGAAACTATACCGGTTTAGGTCCTATACGTGTCAAGGAATTGAATGGTTCATGTCAAGTATTTAATTTTCCACAAGATCGTTGCATATCATTAGATTTACCTGATATACAAGATAATCCAAAAATATGGTGGCTTGAAGAAAGATTGATTTCTGTTATAGACCAATTTATTAATAAATGGTCTATTGATGTACTTGTGTCTTTTGATGGCACAGGTGTATCCGGTCACATTAATCATCGAGCCGTGGGATCTGCCGTTCGTGTATTAACAATCAGTAAAATTAATTCAAAGATTAAAATGTTCTATGAATTGAAATCTGTTTCTGTTCTCCGCAAATATTCATCATTACTCGATGTGTACATAGTATTTATTACATTTACTCCATATCTCATGCATTTATTATTCTCACATTTAATTCCAATATCATCACCAAACGTATCATCTATGCTTCTCATTAATACACCAGAAGATTATATGGTATCACGAGCTGCTTTTGCAAGTCATAATAGTCAATTTAGTTGGGATAGGTATGTATATTTAGTTGCAAGTCGCTTCATGTTTATAAATGAACTAAAATATATCGATAAATGATTTCGAAAGAAAAGAACAATGAAAGTCTAGCTATTTTTTTCTTCTTAATAAAAATATTCGTATTTAGTAAAAATTCACTATTTTTCATGCTTTTTTGCTTTGAAAAAAAATCAATTTACTAATTTATTAATAAAAATATCAAATCAGATTATGTAAAAACATTCTATTTTCTTATCAAATTTTCTTATCTACCATAAAAAAAAACTCAATTGGTTTCGTATTATCAGTACCAGTTAGTATTGAATAAAGACGTGTACATCCAACACCAACATTTAAAACATTTAACTAGATTCACCTTGATTTCTTGCACAACATTCGAATGCAAATTTACTTGCAATTGCATGATGTTTTTGTACCTGGGTGTAATAAAATACTGCAAAAGCTAATGTCGTGTTATTGACAATTATTTACATAAGCAATTTATCTCTATATTTTTTCTTAATTACTAACAAGGAAGCTATTGGCTGTTCTTATGACATCATATCTCAAACTACCAAACACTATTTTTTTTTTTATTTTTATATATTTATCATTCGCAAAACGATATTTACTTTTTTGATATAAGAAACATGTGTATGTATCAAGTGATGCCCTTGACGAACATGGGATTTTGATGTTACATGTTTTATTCATGATCATTAATCATTTTGAAAAACTACGTCATGGCTAGTGACCTGCGTAACCACGATTTTTAGTCAGAGTCACGTCACGGTCACGAGCTATTGAGTTACGGTCGCGGTCACGGCCACGGGTTTCTCTCAAAATTAGTCACGGTCACGATTATAGCCATGATAAATATATGGGTTCTGATTCTGAAATAGTGCCAGTACTTGGTATTGAAAAGAGGCTTGTTGAGTAACGATATCTACCTACGGCTACCGCAATTGTGGACTTTTTCCAGAATGATATTGATTTGGGAAAANTTCGTAATATGCGACAAATGTCGAACAATTGTTACCTATAAAAGTTCAACTGGTACTGGTGGTTTAAAGAAACATTTAGCATCATGTGACAAAATTACATTATCAAATACTACACAATCAACTATAACAACATATTATACTACTAGCAAATAGTGACCTGCGTGACCACGATTTTTAGTCACGGTCACGATCACGGTCACGCGTGACCGTGACCGTGACCACTTTGCAGGTCTCTAGTCATGGCAAATAAGTTTTTAGTTTGAATTTAAGAAAAAATGAAATAGTAAGAATACAGCGCGGTCTGGCAAGAACATATTTTTGAATTGTGGAAGTCTAGTCAAACCCATGTAATTTCTATATCATTATGAAAGGACGCAACTTCGCGCATATTAATTTTTTTAGTTTAAGAAAGAGTTCTCACGTTTCTTCATTTAATCGTATCGATACATAATATACATAGCTAATCATATTCAAATCAGAAGAGCCTACTAAACATGATTTATGAAATAAAATTTTGTACAATTAGTATTCTTTTATTTAAAACAGTATTGATGAGAAGTATATACCACAAGCAACTGAATGTCGAACAAGATTATCCGTTCATTATTGCAATTGATCGCTACAGATATTCTCCCATGAATTTCGGTTATAAATCGTAGTGACTTGAATGAAAGGTGAAGTATTCGTTTTTACAATTCGCTTGATCAATGATTTTATTTCCGTGACTTGTGGGATATTTGGATATGCAAAACAGAACGTCAAGAAAATGTTTGATAAATAGCATTCATGCGAAGCTGATGTCGATATTTGTACATTTTTTGCAACGCGTATAATTACGATGCACATATTCTGGTACAATGATACTCATAGTTATATCAAAACAAATAAGAAAATATCAATAATTAGGCTAACAATGATTTCTACAACAAGATATTTTAAACTATTTTGGTTAATCAAGCGGAGTATGACCAAACGTGAACGAGCAAAACTATGAAAAAATCGTTTAATTTATATAACGCCAATAACGACCATAATAACCTTTAACATTAACATATGAGACATAGAAAATAATGCTAATCATCAATAGCAAGTCTATCACACTTAGTCGTGTATACGTATATGCATACAGTGCATGGACGTTACCATGTTAATTTCTAAAATTATAAAGCAACATGCATCTCCTGTTTGCATTGCTGCACATTCATGATTCTCTGCCGAGACTAGAGATATTTCGATCCTCACTTCTTCTTCATTTTTCTAACTAACTCTATTGCTCAATATTTTCATATCTCAGTTCTGTAAAGAAAATAAAACAATAGAGTATTCAGCCTAAAAAGATTATTCCATATATGTCAGTGATTTGTAGTCTTTTTTTCTCGATAAGTTAATTGATCTTTAATGATTCGGCATTACTACGTCAAATCTTGTTTGAGGATGTGCAAATAATCGTTTTCTATATTTCTATCAATGAATAAGATAAATTATTTATTCACAATGACTACGCAATTTAAATAGTAATTTTGCTCTCCTACATGTTGTTATTCTCGTATCTTCTGTACTTTCAACGCTTCGTCGTACTTTTAGTACGAGGTCGTTCAAAAAAAAAACCGAACCGATCGGATATTTTTATTTCCACTATAACTATTATTAAATGTATTATACTACTTGATAAAACAAATTCAAACGCTATTTAAGGTATATGGTTTTATTAACCTTGAATAAATATGTATATCTATTTTTTTTTCATTCGAAAACAATAGGAAGCTAAGTGATGTTTGAGATACTCATCAATTAATAGCTTATTCATGGTTGATCAAATAGTATGTGTGTACTACTTGCTAATGATGTCACCAAAAACAAGTTGGAGGTAGAATGAGAGAGATTCAACTTGTATATGTGTAAGTAGCGTAGTGTAAATCTCGCTATTGAAGTTTCTAGACGTCGCTTAAATATTATATTCAATGAAAAGACAATTGTTTTTAGAAGACGAAATATTCTTCAGCCATATTCTGGCTATGCAACTCTCATATACGTATGTCAAACTTAAATTCAATTGAAAAAATTGAAAATTTCAATTTTCAACTTTTAAGCCAATAGCATTTTGAAGAATCGTGATTCACACATATCGTTATGAGTTGAAAGTTGAAATTTTCTATTTTCAACTGAATTCAAGTTTCAAGTTTGACACTACTGGCAGCTCTTTGATATCAATCAGAGGTGTCCACAAGGCAGGGCTATACCTTCACGCCTTGCAAATTTTGCATATACTTACTTTAGTTCGAAAATAACAGCAATTTTATTCTTCTCGAAAACGTGAAAGAAACTA